GACAGAGGATCCGAGGCAGGCTCCAGGCTCTGAGCTGTCGGCCCTGAGCCTGACGCGGGGCTGGAGCCCTTGAACCTTGAGATCATGGCCTGAGCTGAAGTCAGATGCTTAACCAACTGAGCCACCCAGGCACCCCTAGAAACCTTTTTGTTGTGGACAATGTCAAGCATTTGCAAAAGTAGAGAGAATACATAGACAGCGTGGTGAACCCCCGTGGATGCATCATTAAGTTTCCATCATTACCGCTGTCACCTTGCACCCGACCAGCCTGTGTGCTGAAGGGACAATGGACAGAGTAGAGAAGCCTTGGAGATGACAATTCCCGACAGGATCGGCCACCAGGGATGAACCCAAGCACCCGGGACAGATGTCCCAGGGGACTGACTGCTATGAAGCCCGAGAGAACAGGAAGACCACAGCCACAAGGCGTGACAGGGACTCTGAGGATTAGGGGTCATCTCAGGCCTGCAGACGTGGCTTAGCCATCTTGTGGCCAAGCTGCCACTCACCCCCGTGGAAGGAAGGACGGCCATTGCTGACGCCAGACTGCTGGCCCCGGGGGAGAGGTGGAAGTAAGGCTGCCCCACAAAGACACTCGGGGGTCCAGGGCAGGAGCTTTTGAGCGGGACGGACTTCCCGACACTCCCATGACGGACAAAACAGACAGAGCCCTGGAACAGTAACGGGCAAGCATTTCCCCGAGCTGAAGACAGACCTGTGTCTCCGAAGGAAAGGGCTCCTGACTCTCAGACTCCATGCCCCCCCATCACCCACCCCCGAGAAGGACACACGCCTGCCACCTCTGGAACGTCATCACTTTGAAGATGAAGGGGACGTCCCGGGAGAGCATTCTCATCAGTGACTGCCAGGAGCTAGAAGGCCACGGACGTCCACTCTGCACTTACGAGAGACAAGGAGTGGTAATAATGTCAGTGACAGGCTGCCTTAACTTTTTAAATTAAGCGTTAAAAAAATAATAAAAAATTTTAAAAAATAATAAAAATAAAACGGGCAGGCAGCTGCTGGGGGAGACAGTTATTTTCTTCTTTTTAACTTTTTTGATGTTTATTTGTTTTTGAGAGAGAGAGAGAGAGAGAGACAGAGCACAAGTGGGGGAGGGACAAAGAGAGAGAGAGGGAGACGCAGAATCTGAAGCAGGCTCCAGGCTCCGAGTTGTCAGCACAGAACCCGATGTGGGGCTTAAACTCACAAACCGTGAGGTCACAGCCTGAGCTGAAGTTGGAGGCTTAACCGACTGAGCCACCCAGGCGCCCCTGTAGGATTCCTCTTCCATGGGGTCCCTAGAGGAGTCAGATCCATAGAGACAGGAAGTAGATGGTGGGAGCCAGGGGCTGGGGGAGGGGTGCGGAGTCAGTGTTTCATGGGGACAGAGTTCCATTTGGGGAAGATGAGAAAGTTCTGGAGATGGACAGGAGAGATGGCCATACAACAGCGTGACTGTCCTTAACGCCACTGAACAGGACCCTTAAAAAATGGTTAAGCAACCATTCTGCAATGTATGTGTATATCAAATCATCACATGCTACGCTTTAAATAAATACAATTACATTCGTCAATTATCTCCCAATGAAGTTGGAAAAAAAATTTTAAGAACTAATAAAATGGTTAAGAGGGTAAATTTTATCACCACATATTTAAAAAATCTGGAGGCCACAGTTTCACCTCTGGGCCCATCCAAGCCTCGTCTGCCTGCAGGGTCGTTCCCCGCCTGCGGCCTTGGCCCCTGGAGGGGTGGGGCTGGCCGGTCCTAGTCCTCAGCCATCGGTCCTCGGTCTCGGCCATCAGCCTTGGCCATCGCTGCTCCCCACGGCGGCCCCAGAGGCGTGAAGTCATGTCAGGTTCACCGAGGTTTCTCGGTTTTTGTTTCCTCTCTCGTTGGAGAGAAATGTCTGGATGTTTCTGCGGCTGTAGGACAAAGAGGTGAGGGTTGCCATTTCACAAATCATGCATTGCCTGTACTTCTGACGGCTCTGTCACATCTCCAAAGTTCTAATGTCCTCTCTGCTGCTGGAGCGGAGCGGGGGGGCGGGGGGGTACTGACTTGGCCACTGGTTTCTGGGAGGCATTGGAGCAGCAGGGCTGGTCATACCCAGAACGTAGGACTTTGAATGCCAAGGGGACAGTCACGCAACACCTGTCTGATGCCATCTGATGCTGACCTGCTGGAACCTTCCCCTGAGGTTGAAGTGTGTATACATTTCCCGCGGCTGCTGTGGCAAACTTGGTGGCTTTCAAGAAACACAATGTTATTATCCTGCCATTCTAGAAGTCAGAAGTCTACACTGGCTTTCGGTGGGCGAACACCAAGGCAACTTGGGGGCTGCCATCCTTCTGGAGGGACCAGGGGACAATCCCTTCCCTTGCGTTTTCCACCTTCTAGAAGCTGCCTGCCCTCCTTGCACCATGGCTCCTTCCTCCACCTTCAAAGCCGGCAGCATCGTGCCTTCCTATCTCTCTGACTCCCGCCCCTCTGTTCTGAGGACCCATGTGATGTCACTGGACCCCCAGGGAATCCAGGATCTACTCCCTTGTCCAGATCCTTAACCGAATCCCATCGGCAAATACGTTTCCGTGTTAGGTAACCTATTCACAGATCCCGGGGGTGAGGATGTGGGCATCCTTGGGGAGGGGGTGCATTATTGAACCTCTCATAATAAGCTTCCCTGATGGAGAACAAACCTCACCATTAGCTCCAAAGACTGAGCGAGACACAGACTCGGAGCTGCGTGCCTGAGCTGTGCCTTTCATCCTGCAGACTTCGGTTCCCTCGTCTTCAAAATGGGACAGAGAGTCCCTCTTTCTTTGCCTTTTGCAAGCCATCTTCCTGCAGAGATCAGGCGAAATCAAGCAGGTGGAAATATGCAGTGTCCACATGGCAAGCCAAGACACGGGTGACCAGTGACCCGGGACTGAGGCCGGCATTGATTTCTGCAACATTTACTCATCGCCTACTGTGTACCAGGCCCTTGATGACAGGAAGGCCAGCCGAAATAGACCCAGATCCTGCCCTCCTGCAGAGCCTGGGGAATGTTCATTGCGCTGACATTCACTGAGTGCCTGCCGTATACCAGGCAAGGTTCCAGGTGCCGTGGGTTGGTGGGAGACAGCATCAAACAAAGCACAGATTTCTGGAATTCACGTTCTGGTAGTGGTAATTGCCACAGAAGGGAGGTTGCTGGTGCCCCGGGACCTGACGTAGGCTGGGGTGGGGGGTCAGGAGGGGCTTTCCCTATGGCAGTGACGTTTGTTCTGAGGTTGGCCAGACAAGGGGGAGTTCAACTGAGAGAAAGGAAGCGTAGAGTATCCCAACAAGGGGAAACATCGTGAGCAAATGTGTGAGTTTCCATGGCCAGAGGGCGAGGAGCAAGGGAGAGAAACCGGGAGGGTAGATCTGTGGGGACATCCTTTTAAAGTCAGCAGGGAGCCATCGAGGGCTTTTCACAGAGGGTGATCACAAGTGGGTTCTGCCACGATTGGGATGGGACCACTGGGCCAGTGGGTTAGGCCTGGTAGGGGAGTTAGGACGTGGGCACCTATCCTTAACCCTGCCATTTGCACCCACCATCTCTCTGGGGTTCCGCTATCTGCCCAGCGGAACAGTCCCATCCCGCCCCGCCCCCTCCCAGCTGCTGTCAGAGTCTTTCCTTGCAGCTCCTGCCCCGTCCCGCAGACTTCCAGAATGCCATTAGTTCAGCCAACATCTATCAGGCATCTATGGCGGGCCAGACGCGTTACACGTATTATCACACTGAGTTCCCCCAATGATCCTAGACAAAGGCATGAAGAGCGGGGTCAGAGGTGAAGACTGAGGCCCAAGGATACGGTCAGTAAAGTGCGGAGGGTTGGACCCAGAAGCAGCAGGCAGCCAGGGAGGTTGGGAGGGTTCCAGGCTGGGAGCCCCACGATCTGATTTAAGTTCCACGATCGAGCTGCGGAGAAGGGCGGTGTTAATCGTATCTGCCGCTAGGGGGCACTCAAGTCCTCCTGTAGGTTCTCTTCGGGGCCGCACCGTGCAACACGGTGGCTACCTGAGCCCTTGAACTGTGGCCAGTCCGAGTCAAAATGTAAGTGCAAAACACGTGCTGGATTGCGAAGCCTTCGTGAGACGAAAAAGAAGGCAACGTGCCTCGTTAATGCCTTTTAAAACGTCGGTGACATGTTGCAATGATGAGATTTGGGGCACATCGGGCTAAATAAATTATATTATTAAAGTTTCATTGGTATTTTTTTAACCTTTTTCAAAGTTTATTTATTTGTTTTTTAGCAATCTCTACACCCAGCGTGGGGCTCCGACTCATGGCCCCGAGATCAGAGTCACATGCCCTTCCCACTGGGTCAAGCAGACAACCCTTTGCTTTCTTGTGATCTAAGACTATCTACATGGGTTGCAGTTGTATTTGTATTGGCCAGTGCCGGCTTAGAGAGAAGTTACTATTTTTTAACTATTGTAAGGGGGCAAATTACCCTCTTTTAAAACATGTTTTTATTTATTTTTGAGAGAGAGAGAGCGTGTGTGCGTGAGTGAGGGAGGGGCGGGGGGAGGGGAACAGAGGATCTGAGGCAGGCTCTGTGCTGACAGCAGAGAGCCCCATGCAGGGCTCGACCTCGTGAACCATGAGATCACGACCTGAACCAAAGTCAGACGGGTTCACCAACTGAGCCACCCGGGTGCCCCCGGTTTACAGGTTTTATTCCCTCCGCTACCAAAAAGACACAAACAAACACAAAAACCACGGCAATCGATATTTTTATACCTATACCTCCATGCGCTAATGACTCTATTTCTAAGGGAACGATTTCTAGGAGAGAGCTGTTAGATGAAGGGCTTGTGTGTTTTTAACTTTAATAGATGTTGTCAGGTCCTAGACATCAACCAACCGATTCTACAGTTTATACAGAAAGGCAAAGACCCAGAAGAGCCAACACGATACTGAAGAACCAAGTTGGAGAACTGACGCTCTGCCTGATGTCAAGACTTTCTATAAAGCTACGGTGACAGAGGCTGTCGGCAGAAGATCAATGAAGCAGGACAGACAGTGTGCAAGCAGCCTGCGCAGATAAAGTCCATTGATCTCTGGCAAAGAATTGCAAGAGGCAATTCAATGGATAAAGGCCAGTCCCTTCAACAGACGGTGCCGGAAGAATTGGATGTCATAGGCACAAAAGTGAGTCCAGACACACACCTTCCACCTCCCACAAAAGTGAACCCAAAATGAATCATGGCATTAGCAAATTCAGAAACAGAACAAATCCTTTTGGCAAGCACATTCCCACTAACCGTGCAAGAGTGCACTTTTTCCCCACAGCCTCACCAGCTGTGAGTGTTATCGCTTTTTAAAGTTTTTCCCAGTTTGAGAAAGGGTTATCTCACTGTTACCTCAATATGCATTTTCTAACCCCAGTCCTGTCGAGCATCTTTTCATATGATTTTGGGTAACTTGGATTCATTTCTCTGTAGACTAGCTATTCACATTCTTTGTTCCTTTTTTTCTTTTCTTTTTTTTTTTAATTTTTTTTTTCAACGTTTATTTATTTTTGGGACAGAGAGAGACAGAGCATGAACGGGGGAGGGGCAGAGAGAGAGGGAGACACAGAATCGGAAACAGGCTCCAGGCTCCAAGCCATCAGCCCAGAGCCTGACGCGGGGCTCGAACTCACGGACCGCGAGATCGTGACCTGGCTGAAGTCGGACGCTTAACCGACTGCGCCACCCAGGCACCCCTGTTCCTTTTTTTTCATTTGAATTGTCTTTTTTCCAATTTATACATGTCCCTTGCCATCTGATTTATTGACGTCAAAATTTTGTGGTATCTTTTATCACCTAGAGTTCCCATTCCTGCCAAGGAAATTCTCTTTTGTCCTTAGATTGCAAGTGTATTCGCTTAGATTTCCTAGCAAGATTTTTATTCTTTTATATTTGAGTTTTGACTCTATCTGGAATATATTTTTGCTTATTGTATTCAACAATTAACAAAGGGTTTACTAAGGCTCTACTTGTGTTTCAGATGGATATTCAGAATTGGGCCAACACTATTTTTAAAATAAACCACCCTATTCCCTGAGAATTAAAATACCACTTTTTATCATATATAGATTTTCATATACGACGGATTATGTTTCTGGATTTCTGTTCTTTTTCTACTTGGCTACTTAACTAGTTCCATTTTAATACCTCAGCAATTGAATTCTCCCCCTATTCTTTTTTATGTTTGTCTTGGCTCCTCAAGAAAAAGAATTGTTCTTTTTCTGTTGGGATGCTGAGTACAATTGTGTTAAATTTGTAAGTTAGGGGGTGCCTGGGTGGCTCAGTTGGTACACGTCCAACTTTAGCTCAGGTCATGACCTTGCAGTTCGTGAGTTCGAACCCCGCGTCGGGCTCTGTGCTGACAGCTCGGAGCCTGGAGCCTGCTTTGGATTCTGGGTCTCCCTCTCTCTCTGCCCCCCACCCCACACCCCTGCTCATGCTCTGTCTCTCAAAAAAAGATAAATATTAGAAAAAAATTTTTTTTTAATTTGTAAGTTAGATTGTGGGTAATTTATAGTTTTTTTTTTTTTTTATGTCAACCCAAGAAACTGTCTTTCCATTACTACAGACCTTGCTTTCCCTCCTTCAATGAGATTTTATAATTTTGTTTGTATTGTACCTGTGCTGTTTTCATTAAATTTGTTCACAGATAGTTTGTCATTTTCCCTCGGGAAGCCTGGGTGGCTCAGTGGGTTGAACATCCGACTTCAGCTCAGGTCATGATCTCATGGTTTGTGGGTTCGAGCCCCACATCGGGCTCTGTGCTGACGGCTCAGAGCCTGGAGCCTGCTTCCGATTCTGTGTCTCCCTCTCTCTCTGTTCTTCCCCTGCTCGTGCTCTGTCTCTCAAAAATGAATAAACGTTGAACAAATTTAAAAATAAATAAATAAATGTGGTGTTCGCTCATTTCTGAGTCTTTTGAGTATTTCTATTCTAGGTAGTCATCTTACTAAATTCTTGCTAAAAGCACTTGAACAAAGAGAGTTCACCTTATCTCTTCTTTTCAAATGTCTTTTTTTTTTTTTTTTAAGTAGGCTCCCCGCCCAGCCCAGAGCCCAATGTGGGGCTTGAACTCGT